TAAGATCATGATTGCTATCCCTGTTTTTTTTACTTCAGTTGAAGCATAATATTCTGCTCCAGCCTTTATTTTAATTCTTTGTTTCAAGTGTGTCTTGTAAATAACATATTGTTGGATTCTGGTTTCTAATCCATTCTGCTATTTGCTTCTGTTTTATGAGTGAATTAATTCCATTTACATTCAGTTTTGATTACTGTGTATTTCCCCTCCATCCCATTTTCTTGTTCCTTATCTTGTCCCTCCTCAAAATTCTATTTTGCTTCTAACCACTGTCTCTCTTAATTTGCCCTCCCTTTTCTCATCCCTGCTCCCCCTTTCTCTTATCCCCTTCCCCCACTATTTCCCTCTTGGGCAAGTTACTTTTCTATACACAACTGAGTGTACTTATCATTCCCCCTTTGAACCAATTCTAATGAGAGGGAAGTTCCAGCATTGCCTGCCACTACCACCACCACCACCCCCCTCCAAAATTTCCCCCACCATTGTAAAAGCTCTTATTTGCACACCTCTTTGAGGTGAGAAAATTTTCCTCATTCTACTTCAACCTTTCCCCTTCTCCCGGTGCATCCTTCTTTCTTGTCCTTTCATTTTTTTTTTGAGATTATTTCAACATAATTGACCCACCCCAAGGCCCTCTATTTAAACTCCTTTTAACTGCCTTAATAATAATAATAATAAAGTTCTTAGGAGTTACATTGTGCATCATCTTCCCATATAGGAATGTAAACAGTTTAACTTTATTGAGTTCCTTGTGATTATTTTTTCATGTTTACCTTTTTATGCTTCTCTTGAGTCTTGTTGGAATGTCAGATTTTCTATTTAGTTCTGCTCTTTTCATGAGGAATGTTTGAAAGTCTTCTATTTCATTAAATATCCATCTTCCCCCCCACCCCTGCAGGATTATACTCAGTTTTGCTGGGTACATTATTCTTTATTGTAATCCTTAGCTCCTTTGCTTTCTGGAATATATGCCAAGCCCTACATTCCTTTAACATGGAAACCACTGAATCTTGTATGATCTGACCGTGGCTCCACAATATTTAAATTATTTCTTTCTGGCTGCTTGATGTATTTTCTTTTTGACCTAAGAGCTCTGAAATTTGGCTATAATATTGCTAGGAGTTTTTATTTTGGGATCTCTTTCAGAGGCGATCAGTGAATTTTTTTTCAATTTCTATTTTGCCTTCTGGATCTAAAATATTGAGGCAGTTTTCTTTAACAATTTCTTGAAATATGACGTCTAGGCTCTTTCTTTGATCATGGCTTCCAAGTAATCCAATCTTAAATAACTCCTCACTCTATTTTCCAGGTCAGCTGTTTTTCCGATGAGATATTTCATTTTCTTCTATTTTTTTTTAATCTTCTGACTGTTTATTGCTTCTTGAAGTCTTGTGAAGTCATTAGCATCCATTTGCCCAATTCTAATTTTTAAGGAATTTTCTTAGTGACATTTTGTGCCTCTTTTTTTCTGTTTGGACAAATCTGCTTTACAGGGAGTTCTTTTCTTCAGTGAAGTTTTTGTACCTCTTTCACCACCAGGTAAGTTCTGTTTTTCAGATGTTATTTTTTTCAGTATCTTTTTATGTCTCTTTTACCAAACTGTTAATCATTTTTTTCATAATTTTCTTGCATCACTTTCATTTCTTTTCTCAATTTTTCCTCTACCATTTTTATCTCTTTAACCCTTCCAGGACTTCTTGTTGAGTTGGGTCCAATTAGCATTTTTCTTTGAAATAGCTATTTTCACACTGTTGTCATCTTCTGAGTTTATGTCTTGGTCTTCCCTGCCACCATACTAGCTTTTTATGGCGAATTTTTTTTTGTCATTTACTCATTTTTTCCAGCCTATTTCATAACTTTGAACTTTATGAAGTTGGGCTCTGCTCACTTGGGAATGGGGAGGCATTATTCCAAGCTTCAGCATTTATCATGCTGCTGTTTTCAGAGCTAGTTCTGGGGGTCTGCAAGTTTTTAGTGCTTCCAAGGTAGTGTGATCCCGGGAGAGTTAAAGTCAGTGCACTCCTGGTCTGCACTCTGGTCTTTATCCAGGAAAGGTCCTTAGTCCTCTGGAACTACAAGTGCTATCTTTCCTCTTTGGTTCTGTGAACAAGGCCCCTGCTACCCTGTGACCACCAATGCTTCTCTGTGACCTGCAACTGACCCAGAAATGTGCATGGGAAATAGCTGCCCATCAGCACTAGCTGTACCCAGTGCCAGCAGTGGGTCCTCTGTTTCCTTTCTGGCCAGCTGTCTGACTCCCCTTACCGCACCTGGGCTGAGAGCTCCGGGAGCTGCTGCTCCTGTTGCTGAAGCAGCTATGGACAGCCCTCCACCCCAGTGACACATATTTCTCTAGTTTTCTTAGCCTGAAAAAATGTTTCAACTTGACCTCTTGTTGGCTCTGCCGCTCCAAAATTTGATTTGAGGCATTATTTTTAAGCTGCTTACAGAGGAATATTGGGAGAGTTCAGCTAGGTGGCTCCCCCTAATCCACCATCTTGGCTCTGCCTCCTTAGTGTATATTTTAACTAGCACCTCTCTTGGAGCGTGTTTTCATGTGCTTAATGGTAGGTTGCAATTTTTGAAAATTGTTCATATTCTTTGACCACCTACCAAATGGAGATATATCCTAGTGTCATATTTGTACTAATTCTCTAGTGTTATATATTTTTGCCAGCAGACTTTTATTGGTGATATCTGATGTAAATTTTTTCTACTTTTCCTTTTTACTTTCATTGATTTTATTCATGTAAAAACTTGGTGTAATCAAAATCATCTCTTCTCTAATAATCTTTATCCCTTAATTCTTCTCCTAGCCATGATTATGAACAACATCTGACCTTATTTTTTTGTGCTGTGACCATCTATATTCAGATGACATACCCATTTTGCTTTTATTGCAATATATAGAGTCCTTCCCTCAGCAATTTGTGTTCTTGGAACTGGATATTATTTCAACAATTCCAACTTGTAAAATAACAATAGCATTATGGCAGCTTATGTTTATAAAGTACCTTTTTTTTTTTGCGAGGCAATTGGAGCTAAGTGACTTGCCCAGGATCATACAGCTAGTAAATGTCAAGTGTCTGGTCTGAGGCCAGATTTGAACTCAGGTCCTCCTGACTCCAAGACTAGTGCTCTATCCACCGTGCCATCTAGCTGCCCCTATAAAGTACTTTTTAAGGTTTGCAATGTATTTCTTGTAATTATTTTCAGTCATCCCTTATAACAGTCCTCTGAGGTAGATATGATTATTTTCATATTATGAATGAGAAAAACAGGTTCATTTAAGATATAATTACTTGCCATTTGCGGTCACACTGCCAGTATAAGTCTGAGGCAGAATTCACAACTAGGGAGCACCTAGGTGGTGCAGTAGATAGAGCACCGGCCTTGGAGTCAGGAGGACCTAAGTTCAAATTTGGCACATAACACTCATTAGCTGTGTGACTCTGTGCAAGTCACTTAACCCCAACTGCCTCACAAAAAAAAAAAAAAGAATTCACAACTAGATCTTGCCTGACTTCAAAGCCAGCAATCTTTCCATGACACCACACTGCCTTCCCAAGTTGGGAGTCTGGTTTTAGCTGAGCATTTAAGTATTTTTAATCTTTTGTTTTCTACCCCTGATGAATTATTAAGGTATTATATAGTCAAGAGTTTTGGATAAACTTCTTTTATTCCAGTACACGGTCTCTTTAAATAGTGATATTTTATCTATCACACTGATATGTGGTGACTCTGGCTCATGACTGATAACGAATCCACTTGTATCTGAGCTACCTTGAGGAAAGATCTCTTTTTAGGATCTTTTGAAGAGATCCACAGCAGATGGCTGGAGCCAGTTAGTGTTAACCTGTTACAATGTAACAGAAATGCAGCTGTACTGCTGCTGAAGAATGAGTCAAGCATTAACTTCCCTGCTCAATAATCTCAGACTTCTTTTCAAAAATCTACACATCACACTTCATCAACCTGGCTTCCAAGGAATAAAGTACCTGAGAAGTGACATCAGAGCTCACCCTCACACCATGGTTCAGGAGTCACGCAGTCCTGATATCATGGAAAATTTGGGGCAGGAGGATCCTGCTGCAGATGCTGTGCTTGACTGAATCCTCCCAGGGCTTTTCCTGTTGCTGGAGAAATGCCAAATAAATCCTAGACCATTTTGGCTCTTCTCGTGAATGCTGGCAAATCTGATCTGTCCTAGGGGACAGTAGGCAAGTGTGATCTAAACAGGGATCTAAACGCACAGAATACTACTTTATAAAGCGCGTGGAACAGAGAGACACGGTTGCGTATGGAACAAGGAATTGAGGAGGACACTGATAGTCTAGTGCGGGGGTGGAGAACCTGTGGTGTTCCAAGTCCTTGGCTGTGGCTGTTGGACCGAGTTCACGTTTTACAGGACAAATCCTTTTATTAACGGGATTTGTCCTGCGAAGTCTGGATTCAGTTCAGTGGCCACACTTGAGGACCTAGAAGGCCGCAGGTTCCCCACCCCTGGTAGTCCAACCAAAGATCTTACTAAGTACCCTTTGGGGAAAGACCCATCTTAGATGAAAAGACAGCTACCAACACATGTTAAGTAAGAAAATGGAATGGGGGAAAAGATTCCAGGGCAGTCACAGACACATGTAAGAAAAGGGAGGTTAACTATAAGGGTCTTAAAATTAGGAAGAAATAGCGAGATATCTTCATTTTATTTTGAGGCCAGAAATACAGGGTACTGCTCCAGCTATAGCATAAGGACACTGAAATGGACAAAGAGTAGGGATGGGCCTTGTAGTCTGCTTTCCATCTTTATTTCAAAAGACAGGCACATCCAGTGTGATCATCTGTACGCGTGTGCCCAACAATCTGAAATCCAGTAAAGCCTATTTGTTCCTTTACCTTGTGACAGACCTGCTGGCAAGTTACTGAGCCCGTAGAGAAAAAGTGGTTTTTCTCCACAGGGGAGAATTCTTGCATTCTTGCATCCAATAAACACAACCATCAGCTCAGTTCTACTATTATTTATTTTTTTAAATATTTTTGAAAAAATATAATTTTTTTACAATATTTTCAACTTAAACACTATTCACACTGAACACGTATGGCAGCTTAACCTACCCAAATATGAAGTTTAAGAAGCCAAAACTGTTCTAGCTTTGTTAAAAGAAAAGTTGTTGTGCTGTAGACTATGTGTAGTGATGATTAACAAAGCAAGGGAAAAGCACCACTCAAATCAGAATGCTAAGACTTCCTTGGTTCAATTTGACTAAGTGTTATATGCTAGAATTTACATAGACACAGCTGTGAAGTACTGGGGAACTTGGAAGATAACGTAATTTTCAAATTACACTCCTCCTTGAATGTATACCTAGGAGTGGTTTTCAACACTTCTAACATGATAACAGAACGCATAAATCGGGGTAGTTTTCATCTTTTGTTACTTTGTAACTTCAGGAGCCATTCGAGACCGGCTGGCTTGCGTGGAGCTCTTTTGTTACCAAGTCTGTTCTTGAAGTACAATTTTCTCTCCATGGGGACAAATACAATAAGTAACAATACTGAAGTCTGAACGAAGTAATTTGTATAACAATTAGAACTTTACTTTCAAAATTGACTTTTTTTTTAAGTTAAGGCATTAACAGGTGTTGGTTAACACCAAGTAACCAGTTTAATCTCAATTAAAACAAATCATTTAGTCAAATTTCTAAATCTCTTTCAGAGGTTGTCTGATTTGTCACAACTTGACTGGTGCTTCTTTCCTCACTGTCCTTCACATCAAGCCAAGGTCCAATTATTTTCAGTAAACGTTTGACAGCTTTTTACTTAATAACAGTCTCAGCACTTTTATTAAGCATGCAAGACTAACAAAACTTTGGCAATGCATAAGTGTAACACAGTGACAAGAAGGGAGAGCTTTTACAATTAAGTCTTCTAATACTGCCTTCACAGTGTGGAAATTGTGCTACATCCACCAAAAGAGGGCCCCGTCTACTCAAATATTTAGTACTTCACCCCAGGAACAAACTCCTTTGCATTTGGATTCAGATTACTCTTGACCTGGAAAGTAAGAAAGCAAGTTTACTAAAAGACTGCTCCTAAAAGCTCGTTAGTATTCATTTTTTCCTCACATGCAAAAGTTTTAAGTTCAAGACAGAGAAACAACTCAGGGCTCAATTCTGAACATCAGTCATTAACCCCACATCTCTAGAACGACAAAAGAAGTGAGAACCAAATGTAATATTTTCCTGAGATTAAAACAATGTAAGCTATTCTAAACAGGTTGGAATTCAGGGAAGTTATATTTTACCAGAAATACACACTCTGTATTAACTGATGGCATGGCTTTGCTCAAGGCTTCTGGTGATCTAATCATAACGCCCGCTTTTCTTTGAACACCAAAAAACTTAGGACCACAAAGTTACAGGTAGTGTTATCGGGTCTTCATATATTACTAACAAAAGTTTCTGATATGATGCATTTACTGGAAACAGTTGGCCCCATCAAGTAAGTAATTATGATTATGAAATCTGCAGATTATTTAAACCCTGGTTTCTCTTTGCTCCTCCCTTTCACTGACTGCCCTAATTTAGGAAGCGGAAAGATGTAAAACTCAAAATTAGTCATTCTACTACTTGTTAGTAATAGGAATGAGAAAAATATTAACTCTATCAAGTAAAAAGATTAATTGTGTCGTCTCCTTCAGTATGTAAAAAGCTAATGCTTTCTAAATCTTGTAGGCAATATTTAGTGGAAAGAAGCCTGAGCTGGGAGCCAAGAGAGTTAGGTTCCAGTCCTTCCCTAGTTCTAGATCACTAGACTAATTGTGTGACCTTAGGCAAATGACTTCCTTTTTATATGCCTTAGTTTCTTCTTCACCTCTAAAATGTGGTAGGTGGGTTAGATGATCTCGAAGCTCTTTTATAGCTCTTAAATTCTGTTATTTTTCAGGCTTTCCTCAGTCCTGCAAGTGCACAAACCAGAGGACAAAGCATAAAGGAGATGCCTCTGAATTCACAAATTCTTCTACCACCTCTTGATATGGCAACTGATGAAGAGAAAGGCATCCGGATTGCACTCCGGGGTCTGGGATACCTGGGCCTGCTAGATGGAATCCTGGCTCTCAGGTTACCAGCTAGAAGCTGTACATTATCATATATACAATGATATCCTGTGACAAGAGCTTCATACCATTTTCATATTTGGTACATAGTAAGCATGCATTCCCCCATCCCAAGTAAAAATACAAAAAACTCTATGCCATAATATTTTGAAATGCACACGCATCTTTTGGCAACTATAGAGAAATAAGATCATTCATATCTTAAGTACTACCCAGAGGCATTCAAGTTGAAAAATCCCAGCACTGTACTGTAGAGTCATGAATGACATCCAAAACTGTATTCTTTATACCTAGGCACTTCCTTGCACAAAGAAGACACTTGATGTATATTTACTTATTGACTGAATTAATAATGTAGCTCTAAAACAAGCAGACATATCAACAAAATACTCAGAATAAAAGTACTTGTTCCAGCAATAGCTCTGTGTTTATTGTAACAAAGGACACACTTACACTGTAAATTTCAGTGTTCTCTAGTAGCCCTTCGGAATAGTACTCAAGCTCAGTGACCAAGCAACAGCTGCAAATGATGTTTCAGAGACTGGGAGTGAATTCCAGAGTGGCTAGGGGTTGTAAATAGGATAGAAAAGCTGGCATTCAGTCCTCACTAGGTTCCTAGTTTGATTTTAGCCTTATTAGTTATCTTAACCTGAAACTGAATTTAATCAAATAAAGACTTGATGGGCCCCATACTAAATGCTGCTATTTAGCTTACATCAGAATTTTGGGGGATTTTCTTATTGAAAATATGAGTCCTCTATATTAATAGCTATAAGCAATGAAAAATGAAGGAAAATTTTAAAAACATACATTTGTGTAATATATTTTTGTTAAGACATTATTAAAGTCAAATCTAAGACCACAAATGATGAGTTGGAGTATTTGAATCAAAATTTTAGGTTATAAAAAGATCATTGATACTAAAATGATTGAATGGCTATGCAAATATTTAGAACCAGAATTTAACCTCTCAAATTTACATAAACCTGTTCTCAACCAACTAATAATCATCATGGCTCTCCTTTTAAAAAGTTAATATAAATGAAGCAATTCCTTAAAGCCATTTAAATATCCTAGAAAGAGAAATGAGGCAAGGAAATTAAGTGACGAGACCAAGAATAAATAAATATTCAATATGAGATTAGAGTCAAAGAGATCCCAAACTTTACTCCATGTTGGGGCTGAAACAGTTCATACCAGTACAATCCATCACAGAATCCCAAGGTCTGGAGAAGGCACCACAACAATTCTGGCCAACAGAACTACTTCTGAGAGAAAAATGAATTAATAGGATCAGAGGATTTTAGAACTGGTGAAACTTTGGAGATCATCTAGTCCAACCCCCTCATGTTACAGATGAATAAAGAGGCTCAGAAAGATTAAGTGCTTTGTGTAAGGTCATACAACTATTAAGTGTAATAGGCAGGGTTAGAACCTGGGTCTTCTGAATGACTGAGATCTACTGCTCAGTACCTTTTCTCAGAGTATACCAGGCTTTCCCACAAATTAGCAAAAATGAACTAAGTTTTAAAAAGATGAAAATAATATTTTTTTTTTACCACAAGATCCTCCAGAGAAGAACTGTCACTGATGACAAGGTCATTAAACTGGTCCTGGATTTGGTCCATAGTTTGTGGGAGGTCTCGAGCTGGAATGAACCACTCATGTTCTTCTTCTTCTTCCAGCATTTCCTGGAAACAGCGTTCAATAAACTCTTCTTCCCACAACTCCTCTTCAATCTAGCAGTACAGAATGAATATTTCAATGAAAAACATTAAGACATATTTTAAAAACAAACAACAATACTCCCTTTGCTTCTGTTCTAATGAGATTACTTTTTAAATTGTTGAAGCATCAGCTAAGGTTACTTTAGGAATCAGTGCCATAGAGATACTAATTATTAACAGAATATTTTTCTTTCCTCCACTGTTTGTGTTTGACAGAGAAGAATTAACAAGACAAAGCAGAGGGCATTACTTTGAACATGCTCATCTGATGTGAGGAAGCCATATTGGCTACTGGTTAACAATATCATTCCTTATAAGTATTCACTTTTCCAGTTTTCCCAGCAGTTTTTTTTCAAAGAGTGGCTTCTTATCCCAGAAGCTGGGGTCTTTGGGTTTATCAAATAATAGATTACTATAGTCATTGACTACTGTGTCTTGTATATTTAACCTATTCCACTGATCCACCTCCCCATTTCTTAGCCAGTGCCAGGCAGTTCTGATGATTGCTGCTTTACAATACAATTTAAGATCTGGAATTGCTAGGCCAGCTTCCCCTGCATTTCTTTTCATTAGTTCCTTTGATATTCTGGACCTTTTGTTTTTCCAAATGAATCTTGTTATTATTTTTTCTAACTCTATAAAATAATTTCTTGGTAGTTTGATTGGTATGGCACTGAATAAGTAAATTAACGTAGGGAAGATTGTCATTTTTTATTATATTAGCTCGGCCTACCCATGAGCAACTGATGTTTTTCCAATTATTTAGATCTGATTTTATTTGTGTGAAAAGTGTTTTGTAATTGTGTTCATAGAGTTCCTGGGTTTGTTTTGGAAGGTAGACTCCTAAATATTTTATAATGTCTACAGTAAGTTTAAATGGGATTTCTCTTTCTATCTCTTGCTGTTGGGCTTTGTTGGTACTATATAGAAATGCTGATGATTTATGTGGGTCTATTTTATAGCCTGCAACTTTGCTAAAGTTGTTTATTATTTCAAGTAGTTTTTTACTTGATTCTCTAGGATTCTCTAAGTATATCATCATGTCATCTGCAACGAGTGATAGCTTTGTTTCTTCTTTGCCAATTCTAACACAAAAACAGCTGGGAAAACTGGAAAAGAGTATGGCAGAAACTAGGCATAGACCCAAATCTCATACCATATACCAAAATAAAATCAAAATGGGTTCATGACTTAGATATAAAGGCTGATACCATAAGGAAACTGGGAGAACAAGGAACAGTTTACCTATCAGATCTATGGAGAACAGAAGAATTCATGACCAAACAGGAGATAGAGAACATCATGAAAAGCAAAATGGATAATTTTGATTACATTAAATTTAAAAGTTTTTGCACAAACAAAGCCAATGAAACTAAGATTAGAAGGAAGGTAGAAAATTGGGAAAGAATTTTTACAACCAGTCTCTCTGATAAAGGCCTCATTTCTAAAATATATAGAGAATTAAAACAAATTTATAAAACCACAAGCCATTCCCCCAATTGATAAATGGTCAAAGGATATGAACAGACAGTTCTCAGATGAAGAAATTAAAGCCATCTATAGTCATATGAAAAAATGCTCTAAATCGTTATTGATTAGAGAAATGCAAATCAAAACAACTCTGAGGTACCACATCACACCTATCAGATTGGCCAACATGACAAAACAGGAAAATGATAAATGTTGGAGAAGATGTGGGAAAATTGGAACACTAATACATTGTTGGTGGAGTTGTGAAATGATCCAACCATTTTGGAGAACAATTTGGAACTATGCCCAAAGGGCTACAAAAACGTGCATACCCTTTGATCCAGCAATAGGGCTATATCCCAAAGAGATCAAACAAATGGGAAAAGGACCCACATGTATAAAAATATTCATAGCAGCTCTTTTTGTGGTGGCAAAGAATTGGAAATTGAGAGGATGCCCATCACTTGGGGAATGGCTGAGCAAGTTGTGGTATATGAATGTAATGGAATACTGTTGTGCTATAAGAAATGATGAACAGGCTGACTTCAGAAAAACCTGGAAAGACTTATATGATCTGATGCTGAGTGAAGTGAGCAGAACCAAGAGGACTCTGTACACAATAACAGCCACGTAATGCAATGACTAATATTGTTAAACTGAACCCTTCTCAGCATTACGAGGATCTAAGACATCTCCAGAGGCCTCGGGATGGAAAATGCTGTCCACATCCAAAGAAAGAACTATGGAAGTCGAATCGCTATCACTTATTTTTACCTTCTGTTGAGTTTTGTTTCATCTTTCTGATGGCACCTCCTATTGGTTTTAATTTTCACTTACAACTTCACTAATGTGAAAATATGTTTAATGGGTATGTAAATGTAAAGCCTATATCAGATTATGTGCCGTCTTGGGGAGGGTGGGGGGGAGGAAGGGGGAGAAAAATGTTCAACTCAAAAGCATATGGAAGTGATTGTTGATAAATCAAAATAAATTAATAAAATTTAAAAAAAAGTATTCACTTGAAGATCAAGCCCTAAGAGGAACACTAGCAAGCCTACATCGTTCTTTTAATGATAATGCTGAAGAAACTGGCAACGTCAAATGCAATTTTAAAAGGAGTGCTGCACATACCATTGTCCTGAAGTTCAACTGCCAGTGTTAAAAGAGCAGTGACTTAGGATGAACTGACAAAACTTGTGTCTGAGTAACTCAAGAAACTCACCATTTTCAGAGAGACAAGTAGCTATGGTAACTAAAACTTGAACTTGAAGAAAATAAGGCCTTTGTGAAGTTGGCTAGGCTCCTGCCCACATGATTAACATGATATAGTAACCCTGGTATAATTAGATTGTGTCTTAGCAAATTAAAGTCCAAATTTCAGAGAGTAAACACATGTTCCTAAAAGCCTGTGTTGCAGAGTAGACAGAGGGTCAGTCTGGAAGGCAGGAAGACCTGTGTTCAAATTCTTCTGATAAGAGCCTGTCTGTGTGACCCGGGGCAAGCCACTCAGCCTTTTAATGCTTCTGGTAACTCGAACACTTCAAGTTGCAGAGAAGGAGCTGAACTACACTGGTACAAGGAGTTCCTTCACCTTGGCATTCCCTATACCAATGAACTCAGAGCCATATTTGTCTTAGTTGTAAAATACGAGGTAACGAACACAATCCCCAGGCAAATACAAGTCTACTCACTCCAAGGCTAGAGAGAACACAAGACTGGGAAAAGAATTCACACAAAACATGACTACTAACCTGTCTGTTGAATTCCTCTTCATTTTCCATCCACATGTACTCAGCAAATGGATTATCATCTTCATGAGAATGACCATTAATAATCACATCTTCATTGATGATGCTTGGGCTAGTACTGCTGCGACTTGGATCTTTCATGGTTGTATGTTAGTTGTTTTTGTAACCTTACAAGAAGAAGCTTAAAATTAGTTCAGATTGCCAAGGAAACACTCTACCGTATGAAATACTGAGGTCATGTAAGTCAACAAAGCACTTCAAAATGCTTTGTTAAGTTACAAGAAATATCTAGGAATTGCCGAAATCTGCCTAAAATAATTCAGATAAACAATGAGCAACAATCTGCTTCAGGTTTTGGGTTTTGTTTTTTTTAAGGGGATCTCAATATAGATTGCAATGGAATGGGAATATAGAGACCTGAGTTCTAGTCCATGCCCTGCTACTAACACAAAGCTCTGTGACTCTGGGCAAGCCCATTCACTATGCTTCAGTTGCAGTAAGCGTAAAACAGGGGAAGTGGACTACATGATTTCTAAGGTTCCTCAGAGCTCTACAAATTTTTATTCATCTTACTCATTCATTCCTTTGCTTTACAGAACTAGGCTCATCCTGGAAAGCTAGTGGTCAAATTAATTTCTACAAAGCCAATTTTACTTTTAGAATGATTCTTATTTTATAAACCAAAGATTTTTTTTTAATGGGGGAAAAACTTAAAAACTCAAACCCCCAAATAAAACTAAGTTCGTGTTCAGTCCCATTAAATTCAGGTTGTTCTAGAAGTAGTGTATTTGTAGTGCTATATACTTTCTGGAAAATGCTATGAAGCACCATTCTAGAATTCCTTCTCCATTACCAACTCCCCTTCTCCTAACACTTCTTTTCCCAGGACCTGGGAACTTACATACTTCACATCCAAGGATTTTAGCACATAACCACCTTCCTTCAGATATTTACAATTTTCATTAAAGCTGGGATATATCACAATCTAGTAACAGACACTATTATCTAACATAGACACAGGATCACAGATTTACAGATGGAAGGGTATTGAAAGGCTATGCATTCCATCCCCTTCATTTTATAGAAAAGAGAACTGAGCATAAGTGAGATTAAGTGTCATACAGGTAGTATCAGAGGCTGGGTATCATACAAGCAAAAAATCTTTCAAGTTTAAATTTTTATGTTTTATAGTCTTAAGAACTTTCATAAGAACATGTTTAAAGGGAAATTTAGTAATAATCTGAACAGTAATTTGAATGAATCACGACAAAAAGGAAAAATGATAGTATGCAGTTTAAAATACCTATTTAGTCCTGCCAAAAATGTGGCTCTCTTGGGCAAAATTCATAAGGAGAAGGTGATCTGCCATGTGTGACACCTGGACTTTTAAATTCAGTCTACAGCTTTGTCTGTATCCCCAAGTATTAATATTCCAAAGTAAACCTGAAAGTTATTCTTAATAAACAAATGTTTACCTTAGGACTTCAATCTTTTGTTTTATGTAGTTTTATGTTGGGAGCAAGGCACCGCAGGGAATTTAAATGATGATTTTTTTTTTAATAATCAATATCCCCTGGGCTTTTTGTGGGTTACTGCTCACAATGTAGCCATACAGGTCCTCCCCCACCACCTTAGAGCCCCTTAATTCTAGTTAGTTTCAGCTGGGGTGAGAGAGGGTGTTGAATAGTAATAGAACACCTATAAAGAATTATCGATATCCTATGATACAGTAAGTTCATTTGCCTTTTTCACTATGATAAAACCCAAACCATGTAGTAGAAATCTATTCAATTTTTCCTTCCAAGTTCAGGATTCTTTAGTCCACAATAGATGACAACTACAGAAAAAGAAATTTCAGTATCAGCTGGGGTGGAAAGCATGGCACTCTGAAAGCAGATAAGACAAGGATTCAGAAAATTAATTTTTATGGTGGTAATATTTAGCTGTTATATTTATAATTAAAGTCAAAGGAAGCAAAGATAATTTCAACTGCTGTATTTGCAGGTTGAGTTCAAATGTTTAATAAAATCCTCTAACTAGAAAAGAAATTCAAAGAGAATTGCCTGTTTTAATTTTTGTCAAATACCCAATATGCTCATGAAAAGTACTGTTACATTTCTGACCTGACTCAAAAATATTGCTAATAACCAGGATCTAGCCTGCCTTACAAATGGACTTAAGTAAATCTAAATGGAGAGTATTCAATATCCTCTGTAATTTAGTTACATTTAAAGGTAGCCTCTAACAATTTTTAACAGTATCTTTTTCATCCTCCTACTTAAAATTTTATAGAAAACTAATCTCTTTTCCAAAAACTTCATTATCAACGTATAAAGATATCTTATCTCTTTGCATAACGCAACACAAAATTCATAAGTTTAGGGCATTAAAAGACAAGACCATCCAGAATTAGATCTGTACCAGTCAAAATTTAACTTGCCAGAAACTATATACATGGGCATGAGACATATGTACTGAAATACTTAATTTGGTTTCAAATATGCTTTAGCTAACTCACTTGAGTATCATACAGATTCAGATCTAGCAAAAGCCCTGAATTAAAGCCTTTTTCAAAAGTGTTATGGGCAAAAGTTTGTGCCAACACAATGAGAAACCTGCCTAGGCAAGTTCTGGAGCCTAGAAAACATCAGGGGACTCCTCTCCTTTCTTCATGACTACTAGTTAAAGGATGGCTGGGCAAGGAAAGGATTAGGAAAAAGGTCTTAAGCCTCAAACAATACAGTTAGACAGGAGCTAGGTCAGCTTTTTGACCATTATCACCTCATCAAAGCACCTCTGGCCTTGAAGGTCATAAAAGAGAAGTAGCTGACCAGAATTACTTTTAGTCAAGTAGGGCTGTTCAAATAATTAATAACTGCAATAAGCAAGAATTAACAAGCAAGAAGTGACAATGCTGCTGCTGCTGCTGCCCATGACTACTACTATACCATCTTCCCACAAGAGGAAAGAAACAACTGCCGACTAGATTTTGGTCCTTAGACACAAGTGGGAGCCAGAGGGGTTAGTGTCCCCTACTCCCAGAATACACTATACCCGTGAAGGGGCCTGATATATAATGAGATTGATGTTTTATTCCGTCTTCCTACAATCAATTCTTTACCCTCCTGGTACCACACATATCCTTCAAGGTTACTTCCTTTGAACCTCATCAGTCTTCAGCTTCATGTTCTCAGCTTTGTCAGAAATTGACCATTACTATTATTAGCTGACATCTCCAATGCACTTTACAAACATTTGATCTTGACATCTGTCCTGTTGTGGAAGGAAGGGAGGTAGAAAACACAAATGAAGTAACTGGGGCTCAATAATTTTCCTTTTATCTTTTACTCCAAAAGTAAGCATGACTAATCTAGATCTCCCAAACTAGATAATTAAATGAGTAATATTAGTACAACAGTGCAGGGCTGGTGAAGAGTAGTTACAAGAGACAATTCCCTAAATTAAGCTCAGATTTGAATGGCCAGTACAAACTTACAAAAGCTTTTAGAACTGGAGGAAAAATATGTGCTGGAAGTAACAAATTCTAACCAAAAATAAAACTCCAAACCTGGACTCCAATACCCTCATTTTACAGTTGAGGAAACTGGGAAATTGAAACTTGCCCACGGTCCCACAGCTTAAGTAGGTATCTGAGACAGGATATGAATGCAGGTTATCCTGACTCCTAAGTTCATCACCCTATCCATTACATAATTTCTTCAATTTCAATTAGGGAGAACTTTTATTTGGTCTTTAGATTTCTAACTTGATAATTTTAGTTTAATTCAAATATGGGTATGTGCTGAATAACTGCAATTATACAGAATTAAGGAGATACAAGACGGGGCCATAAAGCTATTATCAAACACTCTATAGTGTGTCTGCATTATAATTTTATCCAGGGGCTACTACTGCATATAGAAAACTTCCTCCAGAACTTAATTCAGATATATTACCAGGTTAGCACATCTTCCTAACTAAATGTTCTTTTGGAGAAAAGGAATAAAGATTAAGGGGAAAAAAATATTAAATTACACTGGAATGTAGCATTTGCAGATGATACCACCCTTAGTAGTAAAAACTCTATTTTCAAACACTGATCGGTTATTTTTTCACCAGTATATATGACTTAAATGTGACCCACTTTAAAATTTGCGGGAAGATTCTTAGAAGAAATCTCAAAATTCTAAATGGTATGATTTTTAAAATCCTCAATTGTTGAGAATAAAATGACGAGACTCACTTTTTTCTTTGTTGATTTCAGGGGAAACTATGATTTTGACAGGATAACACTCACTTTAAAAAAGTATTCAACCCCTTTGCTAGTTTCTGCAAGAAATAGAAGTTTCCTAAATGATCACTGGAAGAAAATCTGAGTAATATTTACTAAACAGCTTAACAGATTAACACCATGTTAAATTTTGTCAAAGACAATTAGCCAGAGTGCAATCATCTGAGATAAAATTTATTGGCATTAATGTGAAAAACACGCAAACTGTACATATTTCGGGCTGAAAATGTAGCAATTAGTAGTAGTACACTAACATTTTATAAATTGTAAGATCTTAGTTCTGTGTTCATTTGAATGTGTTTGGGGTCCATTATCAACTTAGACGATTACAACATGTTATTTTAATGAACATGAAATTTTGGTCTACAAAGACAACTCCATTCATTCTATAGCAACAAATGTATACCCCTAACAGTAGTTCAACAAGTGAGGGACCGTTAAGTATAAGGAGAGCTTGGGACTGTAAGTAAGACTCACAGGACACATCACACTAGGGAAGAACTACATTACATAAATAAGCCACAGATATCAGCAACCCAATCCTACTGAATGTAATGGTAACTGAGATCTTAAAAGGGATGAATTAAAATAATTTGAAGTGTAAATCAAAGCAAGTGTATATGTCTAAGGTTGTAGTGCAGGAATTCTAAACACTGGAACCAAGTGCACTCAAACTTCTAATTCTGAGATGTATATATTTATTTATATGAAAAATTCACTAAAGAGCCCAAGTTCCTTGAAGACAAGAGCTAGATCCATTTCCCTGATTTTCTCCAGTGCTTAGGAAATACTCAAGAGTGGACACTTTCTATCAGATCTTGTGTCTGGTTCTAGAGAATTAGAATAGATAAACTCTGATGTAACTTACACTCTTCACCTAGTTCAACTTAATTAGCTTCTCAGTATCCAGCTTTGCAACTATCCTCTACCCCCAAACAGAAATATCAAAATTTCTTGATCTATCATTATTCACCTCATCCTTCATTTTTTATGCACGTGCACAGGGCAGGATTATCATGAGACCACCTAGCAATATAATGGAGCTTAACCAAAATCACTGTCATGTTGACTTGAAACACATCCTGCTCTATCCAAATCATATGTCTTCTCCTAACTATAAGGCACAGTCAAATTTATAAGTCACAAGTTTTCAAGAGTGACGGAGGAAAGAATTCCAAACACTCCCCACAAAAATGCTTGTTGTTTGTAAATATAAACCTTAATTCCACAAAGGCGGCAAGAATAGGCAGAACGGCAATTACACTAAAAACAAGAACCCCACAAGATTTTTGTACAGAGGGCTTAATAAAAATTAACTTGAAAAAGTCATTAACAAAGCCAACCTTCTTCCGAAAATAACGTGTTTGCATCTTTCACAGAAGGAGCTCAGAGGTACTGGTGAGTAGTCTTAGTGATGTGCAAAGTCAGCTGAAAACTAGAAGCCAGCAGAATGCTTTAAGGTCCTCCCGAAAATGCCCAGGCTGGTTGCTGCGGTTCACTGTGTCCAGCAAGCCTTGTCCCAGGTGAGGGACAGAAACATACTGCAGCAGCTTGGGGAACCACAGGTACTACTGAATGGGTGTAGCACCTGTATACGTGCCCCAAGCATGTGCTACAATTGCCAAATTCTGGAGGAGTGGTGGGCGGGGCATGAATGGGCTCAGAGAGAACAGCAAAGCTTCCAAACGGCTACTAGCAGCAACTCTTATCTTCCCCCCGCCCCGCAGTACTTTGTGGGGTTCCCATTAAGGACACCCACCCTTCTCCGGTTTAGCAATAACTGCGCAGGCGCGGCCAGGTGGAGGGGAAGGGGGGAAATGTTGCGCGTGGTGAGGCGCAGGCGCAGACAGGGACAAACAATGCGCTTTGTTGCCCGGGCGGCGGTGGGGGGCGGAGGGAGTAAGGGAGAGAGGTGTGTGCGGGGAGGGGGAGCGAACGGAGGGAAAGGTTGGTATCCCGGCAGCCCCCGCGCGCCACCAAAGACCCGGATGGAAAGCCGCGAGAACCCAAATAATAAATCATGACAATAAAAAAAGTCACCGCCATTTCGTGGGGTAGAAGACAGAGCCCTCCGCCCCTCGCACCCGCGAAGGCCAGGAGGGACCGGGGCTCCCTCAGCCCGCAAGGCCTCTCAGGCTCCCTCAGCCGTCATGGAGTCCCTCTCCGCTGCTGCGCCGCCCCCTCCTCCCGCCGTTCCGCCCGGAGGGGGCCCCCCTCACCCAGTGCACGGCAGCGGGGACGGCAGCCAGCGAGTCCTGTCGGCCTCAGCGGATCTCCACAGGCAGCGCCGCTCCCCCCGCTCTACGTGCGCTTCACCCGCCGCCTCCCTTCCCCAGTCCCAAACAAACACCCAGCCCGGAAGTGACCTCACTTCCGCTGCCGGCCCCGCCCCCATTCTCCTCCTCCCTCCCTCAGCCTCCACTAGAGCTATAGCGCGAGCCTACCCTTCTCCTCTTACTTAGCTCCTCCCTCCCCACGCCAGTCTCGGGCCGCAAGGCGGCTATAGATTGACCTGCACCCGGCTCCTTCAATGCCCAGTCCCTAGGTTGGGTGGCATCAGGGCAGTCGGGACTTCTGGGTTCCGCCTAGGGTAAGGCAGTAAGTATCCCTGTGTCAGAAAATCCTCCACGCCCATTCTACAGAAACCAAGACTGAGGACCCCGAAAAAAGGGCTGGGCGGAGATCATCCACTGGGCTGGGGAGGCGATGCTCTAACCTTAGACGAGGTAGCCTCGGGGAAAGATTGACGAGTGATCGACTCCGAGATGACTGACAGGTGCACACAATGGTCAGCGTGTCAGCATTGATTCAGATACTTAGCCACAAAGGGAGACCGGGGACGGGTCTTCAAAAGTCTAATCTGAGGCCTCAAGGGTAGATGTGATGCCCCCGGCCAGGGCCCGGCAGAACTACCTCAAACCGCGCAGGATTCCTTTTCTCGGCCCCGACGCTGGGAGGGTCGTTCTCAATCAATTTACTGTCTAATCGTTTGCCTTGGCGGCAGACGACGTGCCCAAACAGGGCTCCTTCCATCCTGTCCATTCCGAGTAATGATAAAGAACTTGAATCTTTTTTCTACAGCAGTAGGATTTTAATGATCCTCTTTAAATCCAACATCTTGGGTGAAGTGTGACCCCATAATGTAGGGAAAAGGTCTGGTCTCTCCAGTCTAGAGAACACTGGCAAAGAACCCACCACATTTTGTTGGAGAAATGAGGTAGTTTCGTCCTACCAGTCCGTAAAATGAGAAAATCAGGGAACAGCTAAGATTAGGTGACAGCCCAAGTCTTGGAGGTAGCAAAGGATCGGATATGAAAAAGCTGAACTGAAGACAGCTGGGACTGACAAACCTAGAAGGAGAGGACTGGGTAGAGCCCCTAGCTTAGTTTGAACCCAAGTTAAAACTTGTCAAGAAATGATATGCAACTACTTAAAATGTTAGTCATTTGGCCATAGTAATTCTCAAAGCCCAGATAATCATTTTCAAGACTTAAAAGCACTTAGGAGCTGAGATTTAAGTTAGTCTCCTTTCATCTGAGTAGCTTAAAATCTTTGCCTTGTACATTGGTACAGCTGAGTTTGGGACCACCCCGTTGATTCTTTATTATGACTAAGTGCTTGTGTTGGCCACCTGCAAAAGGGGAATACTTAAGATATTTGGACAAAGGTTTGATTTTTGTCCTAGTATCCCACAGCCCTCTCAGGTGAAAAGCTTGACAAACATGCTTGGTAAAATATTTGCTCAATGACACTTTTCTTCTTGTTAGATCCTGCATTTGGGGAGCACAACTTCAGAACAGGAAACACTAAGGTTTACTTCCTTTGGCGATGTTTAGAAACAATCCAGGTATTCACTTTTATCTATACTGAAGTGCCAAGCAGGGGAAGAACCTGTGGAATTTTGAAGGACTAGGGCTATTAAGACACATATAGCATGGGGAATTGGGGGGTCAAGGTGTGGAAGCTGGATGGTAGCACTTGGAGATGTCTTTTCTGTGATTCATTTGCATACTGCACAAGACCATCTCTAACAACATATTTTGGCAATGCTCTATGACCAAAAACTAGTGTAATTAAAATTTCCACCACCACACAAGATACTGTCACAGTAGGGGCCAGTTTCCACATTTCACATGTTGGACAGAGAACAGTTCAGTTGCCAGTTATGTTGCAGCAGTTTGTCTGGGCTGATAAATGAGTTTAGGGAGGAAAGAACCAAAAAAATTGGTGGTGGTGGTGCGGGGGGTTTGAGAAGAGAAGGCTGGAGCTCTGCTCCTGTTTCGTCAAATAACTAAACATATAAATCTATGCCCATTTCTGATTCATTCACCCCACTGCCACCCAACTGCATTCTCCCATGAGGCCAAGGCAGTTGTAATGAAGTTATATGAATAACTGCTTCCTCCCCTCCCAAACCATCTGCATCTGTGTAAGCGACTCTGTGTAGCTCCTTAAATGGCAGCAGTTAGTCCTCTCTTTGTAGTCTGAGCCAGTCCAGAAAGTACCTCGGGCTTGTCCTATTCCGCTCTAGCTAGAAAAAGGGGATAATCCAGACAGACAAGTAAAACTAAGTAGGAATAGCCAGATAGGTCCACATGAGCCTGTAATTAAAGTGGATGGGCCATTTCACAGACAGAAATTTTTAAGTTAGATGACTTATGGAAAAATCAGGGACTACAACTGTTTTCTTTCTGTAGTAACCACACAGATAAACAATGGGTTACCACTGCACTAAGTTAAAACCACAAGGAAAGCTATGGAGGAAAATAAATCCTTTAAAATAACACAAATAATATTCGACTATTTTAGTGATTGGGCACTTGATTCAATTATTCACTTGAATAAGTACAAAAGTCATCTACATCCACTAGACTAAGCTCTTTGTGTGGAAGAAGTTTAAATTCTGAGGAACAGAAAAATAAAAAAACAGTGCCCTACATGAAAGGCACCCAAGTAAATATTCAGATTTTAATTTGATCTTTAATCAGTGTCTTTTCAAGTACTACCATGCATAGTATTTCATCAAGCTGCAACTCTCTGATACTGAAATGGGAATTATGGTCACCATTTGTAAATGGGACCTAAAGTCAGTGAGTATTTGTACGTACGCACGCGTGTGTGTCTGTGTGTATTTTTTTAAATTCTCAGTTTAATCATTTGAATATTTCCAGGGTTGTTGACTTCTATCCAAGCCCACAGGATGAGAATTCTGCCTAGGGAAGTTTAAACTGGGAATGGAAAATAAAAGAGTAAATTAGTGAGATCTGGGCCAAAAAGTAATTGATCACTGCCCAGACTGTTATTCTTCTGCAAGCATTAAACTGAGTGGACTAGTAATTTCCAATATGCTTATATTCAAATGAGAAACCTCAAATGATTACACTGTTTTCAGAACACTAGCCTAATTAAAAAGTGCTAGTAATTTCTGTAGAAATAGTAATTTATGAAGAAAATGGAGAAAGCATTACTGGACGTCTTGTCCACACAAAGCAAACGGGAGCTTGGATTCGAGAAAAGCCAAATGCATAAAAATTAAATTCTAAATTTACCCCTACAGCTCAAAAATAGCCACCACTTAAAACTTGACCTATTAGTGCATGTTCACCATTTTGCTTTTCAAACCAGAAGCACAGATTCAGTAGGTCCATCTCAACCTATTCTACCCTCCTCTTTTTGTTTAAAATATGAGGGACTCCTTCTATTTGGATGTCACTTTACCATATTTATGGATCCTTCCTGCTTTAAGTGACCTCCCACCTAGTGTGGCTATCCAACTCTCCCATAAGGGAAAATGTTTAAGAATTTAAATGGCAGACCATTTATCTATTTGTCCTCTTCCTACTAAGGTAACTTAATAAAGTCCAATGAAGGACAGAACCAGATGATATCTTAGTTTTTCTAATTATCTCTCTACTAAAAAAGGTATACAGTTGAATAAATCAGTAGCTTCAGTAAATACAGGTAAATTCTGGAAAACAGCAAATTTTCTGAAGTCAGAATCCGCTGTTTCTTATGGCCCAATTATGGCATACTGCTAACCATCTATGTTAAAAATAAAAAAATACTGCCATTTTACCTTTTTATGCTAATCACTACCAATACAAACTCAAAACTGCTACTAAAGGAAAGGAAACCTTTTAAGTTTCAAGGCTCCTTCTAGCCTTAAGTATCATGATCCTGAGGTCTATGACCAGCTCTTCACATCTTTCACTTTGCAGAAAAGGAAACCGAGTTCTAAAGGTCAAGTAACCATCAAAGGTCAAAAACAGGTGGGACTGTCTTATAACTGAAGGCCCAATAACCCCAACTCTGCCATATCTATTATGGACATTGACGCTTTATTAGCAAAATTTACCCCATTTGTTAGTTATGAAAAATATTTTCACCAATGGCCCCTCTACACTCTTAACCATATATATAATAAACATTTATTTAGTGCTCATTATGTTCTAGTTATTAAGATAATTAAATTTTCAACTGTACTACTGAAGCATGGCAGCCAAACACTAGCTTTTCATTATATTCTCACCAATGGAATTTTAAGCTCAAAAAATAATTTTAACATTAGAAAAAAACAGATCCAGCTATGAAACTGGGACTATAATTCAACAGCACCAAAGAAATGAACATTTTAGTAGCAGACACACCCAGTTTTAAGAGTAGTAATTCAACTAAAAGCATGCAGAGGAAGAGAAAGTCTATGAATAAGCCACATGACATATATTGGTTAATATTCCAAACATATATAACCAATTATTGTTGCCTAGGTTTGTTTATTGGTAATCACTTCAGTAACTTGAATCCACAGATATAAGCAGTATATAATCAGAAAATTACAAGTAAACACAGATTATACATGCAAATTTCTGTTCACAAAGGTCACAAGTGCAGGTACATTAATTAGAAGCGTGCTTCTGGGATTATGATCAAACTGTTTTAAAATGTAGATATGTAAAATTACATTTAAAGAATATGAAGAGATGATCTACACACTTCAAAAATCAAATGTTGCTTATACCAGAAATGTATGACAGCTACAGGATTCAAGTAACAAGCAATAAGAGCTCAAGAAATTAATACTGGTCAAAGAGAATGGGATTTTTTTTGTTTTACATTTCACTGAAAATACACCAACTACATGAAGAAAAAATCTAGTAGGAACTTAGAAAAAAAATTACAAAATTTAAAGCCAATTACTTAATAGTTTTCTAACATCTAAGTAACAGCAATGACATTAAAAGAAGCTGCACCTGCATTTTTAATTTGCCAACTTTACACTTAAGGACGTTTCCAGAAATGAAATACAACTAAACAACGTCACACTCCAAATGAAAAATCTGCTAGGCTCAGATCAGAATGTGGAATGTTTCAGATAAAATTAACAAAAATACAATGTAAGTTTTTTGTTCTTTATTGAATGGAATCAAAATGACAATTCTTTGAAGCTGGAAACTAATAAAATTTCATTTCTTTGAAGGTTACTTTTCTTCACACATCCACTTTTTTCATAACGGTGCAAAAGTTATCTGAGTGGCTTGAAGAGCCAATCTCTACAAAGCACTTCTGTCTGTCGCCATTCTCATAAAAGAAAAGTTATTCTGCATTAACTTAACTGTATATGCATTTTTATTGTAACACTTAACACACGAACAGACTATTTTTCACTAAAACAAAAGAGTACAATATTTTCTTCTACTAACTATCTGTACTGCGTTTAAAAAATGTTAACGTTAAAAACAAAGAACCACTTTTCCTTGGAAACCCTTAAGCGTCTTGCACATCTTAAGCTTCTTTCTTTTGCCTGCGATCTTCTGCCAATTTATTCAGAAATTTCTGGGGGAAAAAATAAAACCAATTCAGGGACATATAATTCTATCTAAATTAGCAAGATTAGAAAACAATTGTAAATTATAACTGATTTTTGGACCTTAATGTATAATTTAATACATCTCTGTAACAGGCTTTTGCAGACTAATGTAACCGCTGTAAATACTGAACAAATGGATCAGGAAAACACAGCTTTATTAATGTATTGTGATGATCAGAAAGAGAAAGTATGAATTTAATACATTTCAATTGATCAGTACCCTCAATTTATAAGACTGATGAACATGACACAAAAAATGAAGAGGAAAGTAAATTAGCAGCTCCTTGAAATATAAAATTATTTCAAAACGTCCAGACCAATACACCAATTTATCCACAAGATTAGGGGTGGGGAATCTGCAGCTTCAAGGCCACATGTGGCCCTCTAGGTCCTCAAATGAGGTTCACTGACTGAATCCAAACTTCATAGAACAAATCCCCTAAATAAAAGGATTTGTTCTGTAAAACTTGGACTCAGTCAAAAGGCCACAAGTTCCCCACCGCTCCACTAGACTAAGCTATAAACAAAAAATTATTTCACAGGATGTTTGTCCACACATACATATCAACCAAAACCTGTAGTAACAAATGCACTGTAACAAGAGACTACAAATTTAGAAAGATTTATCATATAAAATGAATGTCAGTGTTCCCGTCACTGCAAAAACTCAACATATAGTATTGTTGCAAATACATGCCAAACTTTATCTTGAAGTCTAGCTTACACAATAAAAATCTAACTGTGGACTTACAACATCTGGTTTGTTTCAGTGTGTGCTTATAAATTGATGCAATTTCCTTTTTATTAGCTCAATACTGAAAATCAATTTTCATTCTCATAATTTATAGATAACTAATGAAATCCCATTGAATTGGAACATGAATAAAATTTAGAGGCATTTCTAAAATGCCATCTTTTTTTAGCCAGAAAATTCCAATTCTAACTTTAAACTACAAAACACTTGAGGAAAACTTCCCAAATAGCATTATTCAATAGATACTAACATAATTACTCTTTTGGTAAAGCTGTGTGAAAATTCATCCATTTTAATGATAATTGAATTTCCAGTCAAATTAACAAGCATTTAAAGTTTATGTACCAGGTTTTCCTCACTACCAGCTACAATTTTAAAAGAACCTCCTTCTCTGTATTTTCCCCCCATGGTTTTTTCCTTTTAGTGTGTTTCTGCACATATATAACCTATAATCAAATTGCCTGCCATTTTGGGGAGCAAGAAAAATTTGGAATTCAAAATTTTAAAAAAAAATGCTTAAAATTGTCTTTACTTGTTATTGGGAAAAAATAAAATACTATTTAATATTACTTAAAAAACCAAAAACCTTTGATTTCAGATAATTGCTTTCTTTGATTTTGTTAAAATGGAACATTCCTAAATTTGGGTTCCTCTTTATTTGCTTTCCTAGTATAACAATTTGATTTTTTCATGCCTTTGAACAGATCTGACAACACACAACGTTGGAAAAGTTCAACATTGCTATTATTTCAAATCAAGACATGACATTAAATACTGAATGAATCTTTCAATGTTAGTTCCTTTGACAGTATAAAAAGTTTTATATATAAAATTTCATTTTTGGGCTGACCAGTCTACTAAGACTTCCTTTAGCTTATGAAATAAAAAAAAACAAAATCCTTTCATTGTACAAAGGTTTTAGAACTGTTTTACAAGGTCTTAATTAGATTTAGCAATTTCCATATGCTAAATTTCACTCTATCCCAGATAAAGTCAGCTTATGTCTATAATTAGCATTTCTGTTTGTTAGTCTCTCACCCCAATTTTCCTTAACTTCTAAGAATTTGTTTTACCTTTAATTTCTGATAATGAGGCAAGCTGCTGCAGTGAGTATTTTTTGCAACTTCCTCATTTGTGTAGAAGAGAGAACAGAGTTTACAGTAAAATCCTGTCTTGGGTATCACATAGTCCACGCCTTAGAAAAAAACACAAATAATCTCATCAACAGATTAATTTAAATATTAAGTTTGAAACAAAACATTTTATTATTTAGCATTATCCAAATTAATATTCAAAATTACACTGAGAATGCATTTCTTGTGAATAGATTTCTTCAAAACAGCATAAAGAAAATTTATCCAAAAAACCAGACACATAGCATGAAGTCCTATACAGCTTACTGTTTTAACATCTCAACTAAAAGGAGACTGGATTAATGCTAAGACAGCAGTATAATGCAGAATTAAGTTTTGAGACTCTTGAGCAAAGACAAGTTTACAACAATAAACAGTATGTGTATTTATGTGTAAGACAGATCAGAACAAGGAAAAATAGACAACAGAAATAAAACTCTTCTAAAATATTCCCTGCATCATTTAAGAATACTTTTATTGAGCTAACATGTAATTTAGAAAAATTCACTTCTCACCAACAGGAACATTGGGTTGATATGGTCCAATTCTATACTCATCTGGGATATCCTCCCTCTTAATTTCGTTTTCACCATCTGTATTTTCACTTGTCTCTTGGTTCGGATCCATTCCCTCAAGGTTCTCGGCAGATTCGGCACCTCCAGGCTCTGTACTGTCTTCATTTTTAATTCCATTTTCCAACGATCCATCATTCTCCTGATCAAGTTCCTCCATCTTGTCCACCTTAATTTCAACCAAACTATCGTCATTTTTGTCACCAGATTTAATTGCCATTCCCGATTTACGAAGTTTCTGAAGTTCCGAATCTTCCTCATCACCAACCTCATCTAGAGTGACAAAACCTTCCATACTCCCTGGAAAGCGACGCTGTTAAGAGAGACAAAGTTTACTCTGCAACAGTTAGTTATCCTGCAGCATCCCTTCCATTTGCATTTACTTAAAAAGGAAGGGAAAAGCGTCTTTTTCTTTCCTTCCTTGTCCTTTGGAAAAAAATTGGACAACTAAGCTAAAAGCTTAATTTAAATGGCATGTTACAAGCAAGTAGAAGCTGTAACACACCGATGCTACTTTTGTAGGGCAATGACTTTCTAAGGATATAGGGTAAAATTTTGTTTGACTCAGTTCCTTAAACTTCCCAATGCCTTCTTGTATTTTTCACCAAACCTATTTAAATACATCCAACCTTAAACTAGGGCTAAATGTAAATTATCAAAATATATACAGTATATATAAGCGTGCAGTTATTTTGGCACACCATAGGTGGAAAAAAATGGATCTGGACTATATATGATTTGAATTACCCCAAATACTTAAAGTACTCCATGTAGATGACTTTCTAACTAACCTTTGTAAGCTACAATTGCTCAGAATATACAAATTGAAACAGCACCCTTTTATTAATGCAAGTTATAAATTGCTACCACTGATTTGAAGAATGCCACTCTTGATACGCAAAGAAGTAGAATAGTATGTTTTCTTTTCAAAAACTGCATTTAAGATAATTTCTAGAATTCAAAAATAGTGGACACAGCAAAATGTCTAAATTTTCACCTTGAAGTTTTAAAATTAATTTTCCTATTAAAACTAAAATATGGAAAAACTAAAAAAAAAATACCTTTTTGAGTTTTTTCTTTGCTGCCGCTGAAGAACCAAGACTCATTTCCATTTTTTTCAAGGCTTTTTCTGAAGGTTCTTTTTTAATATCAGCAGCCACATCACCTAAATTAGCAAGGTCAGTTTCATCCCCCACTGAGCTGCCACTTTCTAGCAGTGCAGCTGCTTCTTCTTCATCTACAAGTAGCTCATCTTCAGATTCAAGAAGCAAACCAGGTTCTTGCTCTGCCTGTTCATCTTTTATATCTTTATCAGCATCTTCACTTTGTTTCTCTTCCTGTTCTTTTCCTTCAGCTCCACTATCACTCTTCTGGCTGCCATCAGTCTTGGACTTTTTATCACTTGGAGAGTCTTTGCCATCTGGAGAGTAAGATCTCTTTCTGCAATGGAATACTCCTCAATTACTTTCTAGTCAAATGTTTCAAAAAACACCAAAATACATTCTACATGTATTTGAAATGAACTTACCGAGATTTATCCTTCTTTAACAGATCAATTCCTCTGTTAGGAATCTATTTGAAAAAAAAGTTAATCCAATTAAGATCTTATAGTTAGTGAACTAATAATTCATATATGACCATGGACTAGTAATGTCTTCAATAGGTGAATTTAAAGTGCTTGATTAATCCCTATATATAACTTAAAATTCATACTATTTTATTTAGATGTGTTGTCCCTAGCGCTACTGATGTCAACAAGGTCATTTAAAACCTTGTTGATGTTATCTCAGAATGTAAGGTCTCTTTATTTTTGCTAACAACCTGGCATTTGGTGAGGTGACACCCCCCCCCATCCAAATAAATCTACTCCCAAGTATTTGGTGGTCAATTTTCATTTCAAGGGTAAGGAGAAAGGGAATATAATAGGGAGACAAGAAAGTCCATGAATAAAAAAGGCAGGGACACCACATTGTTTTAGGGTTCTAAATTGAGGAAGAAAAATTACCAGTAAAAAAAACATACCCGCAACACCAGTTTTTTATATTTCTCAGATAAGTCAACCTTCACGTATCGGCCCTGGAACCAAAGTGCCTTTTTTGCACAGTGCTCGACCATGGCCATAGCATCCTCTCGGGTCTCCATTTCTATGAAAGCCTAAGGAAATTTTGAAAAAGAATTAAGGAACACTAATTCCACAAAAACACCCTGCAGCACCCATTTTGTAATTAGACAATTCTTTTAAAAAATAAAACAATTTCATCTTTAAATATTTAACAATTTTTTTATTTTAAATGACAGTCTATAGGAGCCAAGAGTACGTAGGCCCTAGTCTCAACTTTCCATTACTTAGTTAAGTCCCTTACACTCTGTGTGGGCAACAGGTTTTCCTTCTGTAAAATGGGAATACTGTCCTCACAGATTAGATAAAATGAGATACATAAAAATATATTTAAAAAAACCACACATGCATTTTCTAAATTAACATTTCTACAGTGCTTCGAGGATTCCAGACAATTTCTTTCAGTACAGTATTAAGGCATGTTATGCAAATACTATTTATTCCCCAATAAAGAAACTATACCGTTCAGGAGATTGGCTTAGGGAAAATCACATACTATCAGAACAGGGATTCAAAATCAGATTTTTCCTCACAACCAGTTTTTCCCCCCCATTATACAACACTACCTCTTGAGTAAAGATTACTCTAAAAGTACAATTATAAAATCATTCATTATTGTACCTGGCTCTTCATCCTCATTAATATGTAATTCTTTATCTTTCCATAGGGCTCAGCAAGTTTGATGACGGCACTGTCAGAATAGCCAGAATGGGGCAAGTTGCTGAGATGGATCACCCGTCCAGCTCAGGCTTCTGTTCAAATTTCTGATCAGGTTTCCCGCCTTCAGGTTTCTTTAATTAAAGAAATAAGAAATAAGTCAACTATGCTGACCATGAAGTTAACTTTTTGTAAATTAAGTCAATCCACCAACCAGCATTTAGTAAACAATTTTTATGCCAAGCACTTGGCTAGGTTGCTGAGGTCACACAAAAAAGATATAGTCCCTACAGGGAAGACAACATACACATACAATGTTATTTAAGATATAAACAAATGGTGTGAGTGTGCATGTAGGAAAATCAGGAAATGCCTCAGAGATATTAAAAAAAAAAAGCTAAGGGATTCTAAGCATTGTCCCTAAGGGAAGAGTACATTCCAGGCGTGGCAGAAGACAGTTTATGAAGAAAAGATACTAAACAAAGAACAACAAAGCAAGTTCAGTGTAGAATACAGTATTGGGGGTGGGGGGAAGAATAAACACTAAGCATCCACTATGTGACAGGCACTATGCTAAGTACTTCACAATCATCCCAATTTCATAGTTGAGGATACTAGCAAGCAAAAACTAAGAAGTAACTTGCTCAAGGAATCACAGTTAATAGTGTTCTTATCTACTGTGCTACCTAGCTGCCTCCAGAGGGCTAGTATAAAACACTTCAAAAGAAAGGTTTCTAACAGCTTAAATGCCAAACATTGGCATATGAACAGGGAGCCAAAGAAGGTTACTGGGAAGAATGACATACATGGTCAAGACACAAGTTGCTGCTTTAAGAATACCACTCTGGGGGAAAAAACAACTCTGATATCTATACAAAGAGTAGATTGGATAATAGAGAAATTCTAGGCAGTGAGATCAATTAGGATGCTATGGCAATAAGAATTCCTGGAATGAGAGGTGAACTAGGGTGGTGGCTACGTGAAGTGAGCGTTTGGAAAGGATGTGGAGATTATAGAGCTAATTAGAATTGACTAGACTTCGCAAATGACTGAACATGGAAGAGGGAATGAGAAGTTGAGGATAACCCCAAAGTTACAGACCTGAGTGACTAAAGAGATGAACAAGTTCAAAAGGATTTTTGTGGGAGGAGACCAAGGGGCAAATGGCATGTAGCTAAGCGTAAAGATAAGGAATTACATTTTGGATATAGTGAGTCTGAGATGGGACATAGTTCAAAACATCTAAAAACAGGTACTGAAAGATGTCACTGAAAAATAGGAGACCATATGAGCCAGCTGTATAGCAATGACAACTGTTATACAACGATAACTCAATCTGTGGGCGCTGATGAGGTCATTAAGAGATTCTAAAACATCCACAATTACGGGCTGTGGATGATGCCCCAAGAAAGGAGAGACTAAAGGATAAGTGGCAGGAGAACCAGAAGAGAGCAGAGTCATGAAAACCTATAAAGGAGAGGTTGGTCAGTGTCATTTGCTATATTAGTCAAGAAAGATTAGGTTTACAAAAAGACCAGAGGATGGTGGAACTAAGATGCCTGTAAACTTTGGAAAGAACATTTTTAATTGCTGATGAGGTCGCAGGAGATAGACTATAAAGGACTGAAAAATGAAAAACAAAAAACAAAACAAACAAAAACAAAATGGGAGAAAGTGAAGGTAACAGATCTAAAAAGCTTTGGCTATGAAAGGGAAAACGGATCACTTAAGAGGATGGTGTCAAGTGAGCGGTTTTTTTAAAGACAGAAAAAATATGAGCATATTTGCAGGCATCAGAGTATCAGCCAATAGATAGGCAGAGACTGTAAACTGTGTATTAGAGAAAGAGATGGTGATAGAAGCATTCTAATAGAGGAGCTGGGGGAGGGAGGGGAGAAGAGATGAGATCAAGTATGCAAGTAATATGGTACTGCTGAAAAGGGCCACCCTTCCAAAAAGTGATGTAAAGGAAGAGAGAAAAGGGAATTAGTATTTATGGTTTTGGGGAGGCAGAAGGAGGAAATGACATGATGGCAAATACTACCTTTGTTTTTCTAAGTAAAGTATTCATGAGATATTTAACTAGATTTTATACAATGTAATCTTTGTGAAGTAATTCCAACCACCTGTTACAGGTCACTTTGACGGGGAAAAAACATACCTTTATTCTTTTATACTTCTGGGATAAATGGACTCTTACTGGTTTGCCAAATACTAGTGCTGGTGTGGTTGTATAATAGTCCACTGCAGCCTGAGCATCTTCTGTGGTAGACATTTCAATGAATGCCTGAAATTAAAGGAACAAGTAATTTCTAAATATCCTAGATGTACTACTTTGTAAAAAACCTCCCAGAAATACCTTACAATTTTGTTCAAAGGTTATTGTTTAAATCCATTTTACATATATATACATATACATATACTATATATATACATATATATATATATATATATATATATATATATATACATATATACATATATATATATATATATATATATATATGCCTGAACAATATAGCAACGTTTTGGTAGACAATTGTAATAATTCTAGAAAGTTAAATTCCAATTATAGAATTAACATTTCATATTTGTAAAGTACCTCACTTGCAACGCTCCCATAAAAATAGTGCCAACATTATTCTCATTTTAATAGGAAACTGAGGCTCAGAGAATAAATTATTTGCCCAACACAATATAACAGGCAAATACTGCAGCCAGGACTAAGGCACAGGTTGTATACCTCCAAACGCAAAGGTTCTTTGTAAAGATGCTATGCTTCCTCTCAGACAAGACCCCAATAAAACAGAAAACAAGTCTATCACCACTGAAAGGGTAAAACAGGCTTCACACTTTATCCTTTTGGAAATACAATGAAAATTCGTGCTTACGTGTAATAATTTCGTAAAATGCTAGTGAATGCTAATAGAAATCCTAATACAACATATAAACCATTTTTTCTTATAGTACATCAATTTAAATGACTTAAGTAGAATTAAGATCTAACCTCTGAATTAAATCAGATTATTTATGTAGTAGCATAAGTACTGTATATGAAGTGCTTTCCTAACAACCAGCCTGCAAAAAATATAAGCCACATAAATATATTTGTTTCCATTCTATGGTTGGGAAATCTAAGGTATGAAGTGACCAGGACTTGTCTATACTCACATATGCCTGAGGAGCCAAGGACAAACCACTTTCTTCTGATTCTAAATCTAAAATTCTTTTTGGTTTCACTAATAAGCATCTATTTACTACTATTCAAGGAACACAGTCCTTAATCTAATAGGGCTTATAAATTTAATAAGGGGGTAAATGCACTTTGTAACACAAAATAGCTAAGAGGTTAAAAAAGACAGGTACACTGCTGCATTCATTTCCTGCCTTCATTCCAAAGAGTTTAAAAATGGTTTAAGCCTCACCTCGTTGATTTTATTTAAGATCAGATGGTTTGAAATTACTCCAAATGGTTCAACCAGCTGCAAAAGTTGGTATCTCAAGTTTTTCCCCCGCTGAAAATCCATAATGTGAACAACTCTGCTAGTTTCCTATAAATAAAAAATAAAATGTGTAGGCCTCAACTTAAATCAAAATTACATGGCACAATACCAGAATAAAGTAATTAAAATAATAACCATCATAAATATTTTAGTGAACTTAAAACTCACATAACACAATTCTAGAACATTTCTAGTATTTTCTTATAAGTAAAATTAATTTATACGCAAATGTAACAGTGAGCATGAATGGCATTCCCTTCCAGTTTTCTAGATATGTGATCCTATGTATACAAAAACAAAGTCAATTTTTACTTGGCCACCGAATAAAAGAATCTATGATTCTTTGTACCTTCAACAATTTTTTAAGAAAATTATAATCCTCACAAAAATTTAGTCCAGAAAAATATCTGGGCACTGACAAGTACCATTGCTTCTACTTCTGGGGCAAAATTTGTTAATACCTTTAAAGTGAAAATGCTCAGATTATGTAAGCTGATGACACTACCTTAAGGATAGGACAGATGAAGTAACTGCTTTAACTACATTAACTGCTAAATTGTCATTATGTTTCTATAAGTTTCTTATTAATTCGGAGACAGATGAAAACAGTGGTTTTATGCAATACTACGTTTTATATAAGCCAGCTTGCAGATGGAAGGGTGTGGGATAAAGAAATATAGCCTAGGGGCAGCTAGGTGGTGCAGTGGATAGAGCACCGGCTCTGAAGTCAGGAGGACCTGAGTTCAAATCCGGCCTCAGACCAAACACTTGACATTTACTAGCTGTGTGACCATGGGCAAGTCATTTAACCCCAATTGCCTATAACAAAAAAGTATAGCCTATATATTTCTAGAAAGCTATATATACAGCATATTTCCCTGCAAAATGGTGATTTCAAACAGGATTATCTTTATTATCTTTCATTGGTAACATGTTTTTAAAATTTGCTTTTCTGCCTCTTTCAGTTTCTAAGTATTTCTCCATACAATTAACCAAGATTTATATGCACAAGAAAGATTTATTACTTCAGAGACTGAAGACTAAATAGTTGGCATTAACATTTTAAATAACCCCAGGTCCATGTAACACATTTGAAATTTAATACTGACCATTCTGCCCTTTTGCATATGTCTTGGTCCTTGCATATTTCCATTTCCGGCACCTGTAAAAGAGGGAAAGTAATTTTTAATGTTTTAACTATATGTTCACATAAAGCATAACTGGTATATGCACCCTGAATGAAAGGGAAAGGTGATCCAGGATAATTTTAAAAATTAGCAGTCAATTTTTATCAGCCATATAAATGACATTTTAATTAACCTTTCCTCTAGTTGGTATTCTATTAGTTCACTTACTGTCTCTTTCACCTAATGATTTAAAAACATACCCATATTTCCTCTTGGTCCAACAGGTGGTCCCCCAAGATGGAATGAGGGAGGAGGGGGCCCCAAAATTCCTGGTGCTGGGTTTGTAGATTGCTGCAACATGAATGGATCTCCCCTAGAAATATGAACACATTGAATATTAAACCCTCCAAAATAATACTGGAGTGATTTAATAGTTATCAGGAATGCTGTAATCTTTATGGACAATCAAGTAGAGGAAAATCTTACTCTAAACCATACTAACTTAGAATAGTATAGTTATAAATCAACAAATGATCTGAATCAAAAATGGACCTGTATTTTGGCAATGAAACCATTCTTTAATATTTCTAGGAGACCTTTAAGTATTTTGTGAAATATAAAAACACGCTATACACCTAAACTACTTATAATAATAAACAGTATTGATTTGCACTTACATTCCATGTCCAGAATCATTGTCAGGATTCCATTCTGGATAGCTTAAAAAAGAACAAAAAATTACATTCAAAGCAAAATCACTGGTTCTGCTTTACTTCATTCAGATTAGTGGAAATTATATATTGTGTTTACAAGATATATATAAAATTTATCCCATTGGTAACAGACACTAAAAGAATTTCAAACTTACCAAAATGAGTAAGGGAACAAACTTGGCCTATGCTACCTGAGATTTCCGATTTAGGCTGAAAACTTAAGGTAATAAACATTTCCCCTAAAGTATGACCTAGCCATGTGAAAAGTAGTAAGACCCTGGAATAGTCCATGCTCTTCACTGGTAGGATTCTGTTGATAATCATTAGGCTTGAATCTATTCCATATATTAAAATGGATACCTAGAAACAGCTTTTTCATAAAATTTCCCCTAGGAATAAAAAGGCTTAATAATAGTTTTTTCTATACTAGAAATTCAATAGATTATTTAATACAACAACCAATCAAGCATCTTAACTGTTAGTTTTATTATCTCATCTGTAGTTATCTATTTCAGTAAGCGACAACACACAAAATTCTGCATAGCTATAATAGAATGCATTTTAGGTAAACGACAAAAATCTGATTAACTGCTGTTCTTTGTGTCATAAATAAGGATGCTTAAGAGATATTTCAAATTCCTACATTTCAAGAAGAAGTTGGCAGCGTCGACTGTGTGTTGCTCCATTGATGTGTTGATTCCACTCCTGCAGCAAAGTAAATTTGTAGAATTAACAAAAATAAAGTTAAAATATTCTCAAGTGAACCAAAATCTGGAGCACTAAACATTCAACATTAACGGTCACATGATAAAACCCATTGTCTTTTGGCATCTGACCTACCATCACATGAATTCGACAACTTTCCTGAGTTCTTCCTAGAGGTTTGATCCTGCCCTCAAATATCTTATGCATATTCATGGATGAAAATTTATAGCTTGGTCAACAAAACAGGTGGCCTCTGGAAAAATGGCTCTTCCTAGTAATTGTAGACAATGACAGGAGATTCTGTTTTTTATAATTTTAGTTAGAGTCTAGTTTAAGGCTAAAAAAAAAACTCCCTCGATTCATAACATGTTTTGAAACTCCTATATACTAGGGAACATAATGGAAGGAATTTTTAGAAAACTTGTCAAAGACTGTCTTTTTATGGTAAGCTAAGGACGATCTGTCTACCATTTTTTACATTCTACCTAATTTCTTCATTAATTCAACATATAAGTTATGACTACTTTTTTACCCCCTTTTCTTACACCTGGGTTTGACCCCATCAAATCCTTATCTTACAGTGAAATACTAATGGACTGTCATTTGGAATTAAAAATTTAGTTAAGGCTATCTATCCCTTTAATTACAAAACATGTTTTTTCTCAAAAAACTACATATAAAACTGAATTTTATAACTTAAATCCCAATTTTTCAGAGACATTTTCAAAACTTGAAAAATATTTCCATAAAGACAAAATGGGAAAAGCAATACAGTACAAGAAGGAAAATGATGAATTTTGAATCAGGAGCTGTGAAAACGTGAGCAGTTCACTCATCTATAATTGAAGAGTTGGACCAAATGACCTCTATGAAAAATATTGCCACTGGCAGAACAGGCATAAATCTTAACAGGAAATTTTTACATGTCTTATTTACTTATACAATATGATTATCCGTAAATTAAAGCAGCCGGTAAGCAGGATTGGAGGAGAGTAGGGGGAGGATTCACCAACCAGGCATTTTATCTACACAAACCTACAGTAGATGAACGAACATACAGAATGCCAATATTTTTTATGCAACTTCCCCACTCAACAGCTAACACAGGGACAAACTTCCAGTAGAATTAGCAAATTCCATGCAAGTGAAAAATATGACTGTCTCTGACCTAGCCAAATTTTAAACCTAAGAACACATGTTCCTTAACCATGATCTAAAAAATTCTAGCCCCAAGTTTCAGGAGAATTCTGCAATCAAATTCTGAGGGCTGGGAAGAATCTCTAAATGAATTTTAGATTTAAATTAATTTTTTCTGATTCTTAATCAAAATTAATGCTGAGAAAAGGTAGAAGTACCCTGATGTGTCAGATTAATGGAGTTTATATAAGGATCTTGTTTTAAGGTTTAGATGTGACCTAGGCTAAAAAAGACTATATTAAGTATCAGTGCTCACCTATACCAGAGACAAATGGGAAGCCTTTTTAAAGAACTGAGGAAAATAAAGAGCAAGAACATGAATGGTGCTGAGACTGAAATGGAAAAAGTTGCCCAGAAAACATCAAAGAGGGATGTGAAAATTGTATTGCTTAAGCTAGCATGAAAAAGAAATAGTATGCTGGCAAGAAAAGAAACATGACATTTAAAAGTGAAGTTCTGGAATACCCTCCTCTTGAAGGAAATAAAAACAAAAACACTTTCAAACATTACAAAGGAAATCTTATAGTGACAAAAAAGTTATCTTTTCTACTCAAAATTTGTTTTCTAATTCTTTCAAACTTTGAATGATCCTGCTTATTATTTAAAGCCACCACCAAGCTATGACAAATTTTTCCAGAATATGCAGCACATATAAAAGGGCAGGATTAAACATTTAAAGCATGATCCCCTAACTGCTTCATCTATGATACAGAAAACTAATGTTGATACAAAGGTATGTTACAACATGCCTTGATACAAGTCATGTTCAATACAAACTAGAAGCATAAGAGAATAAATGCTTTTAATAATACATAAAAATTGGCAACAAATTTGGAGAAAAAACTAAGTCAACAATTTAGATAGCTTTTGATTTTTTTTTCAAATTCACACATTTTGATAGATTACAAAAGCAGGTGGGACACATGGTTTGTGATTTTTAGCAATGACTGATAAAGCTATATCCCTTTGTGTACTACTTATTTAAAAAAATAGGAATTCTTATAATTTGTAATCCTTAATTTAGATTCACTTAAGAAGGTAAGTACTTAAAGAACCAAAAGGTGCTAATTATTTCGGTAAAATGCCAACATATAAAACACACATTTCTTTAATCTAAGTTTCCTCACACATTCCTTTACTGCATTGTCCTGTTCTATGTACCAGCAGCAAATTTCCATTTACTGCTCTATGTGCAGCACAAGGGGTAAAAGGAAGCTTCCAAATACATGCAGCTTTATGTATTTGTAGTTCTCTTATCAATTGCCCTTAATAACAGCATTAGCAAAAAATGATGAAGCAGGCTCTAAGAATATAGTGTAACTGGCAATTATCCTTGGGGTTTAGAGATCTTTTATTGATTTTCATCTTTAGCACCCTGAGGAATAAATCTAAGAAACTTTTCCTTCACTGTATCAACTCACAATAAAACTCAAGGTCTAGTATGGATCACTGACCCTAAATTTAAAAGTTTCATTAAGAATATACAAGGAATATTTAACAGCAGGGGAAAGGGACGTGGGGAGGGGGTGGCACCTAGTGTAGAATAGAAAATGCTGATTTAAGCATTTAGAATTAGCATTCTGGAGGGAAAACCACAACATCAACCAAAATTTTAATACTGCTACAAAGTAATTTGGTAGTTTGAGATATACTAGATTAGTGAAGACTTTTGGGTATTTTACCTAGTTAGTAGTTTAAAGAACCTTCATATCCTTAAAATAAACACACTCAACTGGTTAATTTTAAAGTTTAAATTTCCGAAGTGCTCTGTAAATTCAAGTCTTTCAGATCAAATTCCAATCGTTTTAGTGTTGTAAAGTACCACCCCTTATCTGGGTAAACCAAAATTCAGAGATTCAAACAGAAAGGGAGAATATGGGTGATGATAAGTAGATTTTAAAGTTTGCTTTTAATAGAAGTAACTTAATTTGACTGGGTAATTTTGATTATTTAAAAATTAATATTCCTTTTAAATGTTTTAATGGAATAGATGTGGATAGGAAATGACACTTTTAGATGTTATTCTAAATTCAATTCTTAACAGCACCATGTTCCCTGAAAGTGGAATGATCTTATATCAGACCAGGAAAAATTGATGGTCAGAAATTATACATCAAGGTAGGAGTGCCCTTAAAATCCAATTGTATTATATTTTGAAAATAGCGAGAATGGATAAAATTGAAAAAGTTGAAAGAGAAAGGACAATGTGTTCAAAAAAGGCATTTTGAGTAAGTTGCCATTTTGTCAGATGTGAATGATAATTAAGCAAACAGAGGAGAATTAGATTTTTTTTGGTTTAAAATGAATATAATAGAAATCTACACCTAAACCAGGTAAAGAATATGCTTACTAGGAACATAGAGCAGGATACTGCAGTAGCTGATTGAAAATTCCAAGTTTCTAAAGGGATAGATGCAACATGGGATAATAAAAAGTGAATTTTGAAGTGCTTAAGAAAAGTGTGGAAAAGGAGAAAAAAAATGATGACAAATTTCAGCCATAGTATGAGAGTTTGTGTTAAAGGAAATTAAAAGTTAAGAATGAACTAATCTAAAATATGAAACATACTGAAGCAAACTCCAGGGCTCTACATTAACGCTTTCCCTTAGCCACGAATAAGGAAAAAAAGAGAACTGTGCAAGAACACATCTTTACTATGTAAATTCAGCAATCAAGACAGATGTGGAGAGCTGAAATCAAGCTTCCTGAATAGCACAGGACACAGACTGCAAAAAAATATTCAAAACAACTCAACAAAGCAGATAAAAAAAACCTGCTTAAATGTATGGTTAAGAGGAACATATAGATGCAAAATGCCAACAAGATATCCCAGTGGATGACAGCTCAGTGGCCAGAAGTAATCTAGGCAAACAGAATATATTAATGTAAAGCCCTGGTTTAAAATGCTCAATAACAATTATCTTCCAAATAAAGCAAGTGCTCTCAAAAGTATATAAAACTTTTAGATCAACTCAATGTAATCAGACTATCGAAAGAGTAAGATATAGGTAAAAACAGATAGGTACTACAATGTAAAGGAAATTAGAAGTATCTGTTGCATTAACTCACCTTATTAGAATGAACTGGCATATCACATATAGAGCACAGATGGGGATAACCCTTCGGTAAGAATCCATGGAAGTCTTCAATATTGCTACTTGGAGGAGCGCCTCTCTTTTTCTCAAAGAGAGATCTCTCTTGTAAAGGACCAGGACCACGACCCATTCTCTCATACTCACTGTCAAATTTATGATAGTTATGTGAGGGCTCACCATAAAAAGATTCATCCCTACACCTTTCTCCATCTCTTAATCTGTCATCTTCATAATCCATTCTGTCATAATAACCAGATTCTTGAGAACGACTTCCATGGTCATAATCAAGCACTGGGTTGAGACTAGGACCACGATCATCAAAACTATCTCTTCTAAAGTGCCTTTTTTCTTCCCAATCATCCCTAGGTACTCTGTATGGTGGCTCCCGTGTAGCAGATCTGCCATCTCTACCATAACTCAATGAAGGGCCTTCTTCAGTTCTCCTCCTTTTAAGTTGTAGAAGGATCTGGGGCAAATTCTCAGGAGTAATCTTGTCCTCTGGATAACGACTCAGTTCATCTAAGTCTCTAGCAGACAGACCAAAACTGGCCAAAATGTTACTGGCCTGGTCCGCATCTCCACGGTGTTGAGAAGACAAAGGGAGTGGACCTCTACTTCCAATGTTAAATATAGATTGCAAATTATGGGAAGAAGTACTAGCAGAAGACAGTGCACTATGAGATCCTTGTTGATTCAATGAAGAACTCATTCCAAGATTCATTAAACTAGCAAGGCGTGCAGTACCCTGGTTCATCCTTCCAAGAGATGCTGGCATACTTAAAGACTGGGTAGCAGCAGCAAGAAGGCCTATTCCTGCAGATAGGTCACGCCCATGACCTTGTGAGTCCCTACTGAGAGATGACTGCTGGAATGACTTGGACATTGTAGAACTATCTCTTGTCTACCTTATGGATCAAAAAAAAAATGTTTTTAAAGACGGCCAAAAAGAAAGCTCAGACTAGAAAGCTAGTTAACTTTGCTTCAAAAATGGTAACGCCAAGAAAAAAGGATCAATAAGGACTGTAGATTCTTCTTCAAGCTGAGAACCAGCAGACAACTCTGTAGAAAAATAAGCAATTTTAGTAATAAATCCCTTTAAGCAGATGCAGTTTTTTTTAAAAAAAACATGCATCGTGTTGATTTAAAAAAAAAACATTTAAGATCTCAAACTTACAAGGCTTTCATTACATATCTTAAAACAGATTCAAGATGTACCCAGAACCTATTTTTATGGAAAAAAAAAAAGGTCATCTGTCAAACTAAGCTTTTAACTATTAAAAGTGAATTTCGTACTGAATTTAAATGAAGTGCTGGATCTCTGCATGTATCTAAATTTTGGTAAAATAATCTAAGATGGGTCTCTTCTTTTAGAAGAATAAATAGGCACCCTATATGATGCTTAAGTTCCAGGAGAAAGACTACCAAAAAATAAAGTCAGAAAGTCAAAGATGAATCTTGTTGTATACTGTTCTGAAAATGAAACCTCTAACACTACAGGAAAGGACCAGACCAAGTAACCAAAAGTAACTGAAGCTTGGGTAACAAGTATCTATCATAAGAGCTAAGAACAAATACAATAGGAGTATGCAGCAAAATTAATTTACCGAGGTGAAGACAGATGTGAACAAGAAAAATAAGTTATTTCCTATTTTAAAGATCTCTCCCCACATTTAAGTCACACTGCTCTTTGTGCCTTCTTGCTGCCAATTCTACCCTAGGCTGTGTTTATTCTTATAAAGTAAGGAGAAAAGGTAGATTCCCAAGAAAAAACCCAGCATAGGAAGTATATAGGAGATCCAGGAAAGGACACTTTTCCCAAGTTAGCATTAAACAAAGCTCACATGATGCTTGGGAATTACAGCACCTCTAGGAGCTTCAAAATAGAGGAAATGAAAAGGAGATCTTGAATGCTCAGAAATCCCATAATTTTTTTTTCCAAAAGATTATTTTTTCCTGGAAAAACTAAATTATGAATACTATCTCTTCCCAAGAGTTCTTCTTCAAACATGGATGATGATGTTGTCATTTCTTTCCCTAAACTGATGCCATCTTCCATCTCAGAAGTGATTTCACAGTAACGTAAGAATTTGTAAAGCACTTTGGTGTGAGTCACTTAAAACAATTTCACAGTTCAAAGAAACACATCACAAGTAACTTTAACTAAATACCGATGGCTTTATACATCACAGTAATTTATATATATATATATATATATACACACACACATAAAATAAAGCCTGAAGTTCCACAGAGTCAAGAAATTTCTTCCTTACACGAGTACTGCTCAAGTAGATACATGAACACTTTATCAACCACATACCTATATAAAGATATATAAATACTTCAAAGTTTTATAAATTAAAAACTTCAATACAGTTAAAAATCAAGCAGTAGTGTTAACTAGTCACTAATCTATTATTATAGGACAACCTACTTTGGCTAATTTCAATGTTAGACCAAAGCTAGATATATACTGTATGAATACAGTAGCAGAGGAAGGAAAAAATGGTATAGAAAGAAGAGATTTTAAGACTAGATAAAAAAAAAGGATGTAGCAAAGGTAAAGAAGAGACACAGAAAGGCTATCAGAGGTGGCTTGAGTTACAGAGAATGTTCTCACATCAAAAGAGATGAATTTGAGAAAAAGACATTGAAGAAATCAATGCTAGATGAGATCCACTAGATATATGAATTAAGTTTTAAAACAAGAGACAATTGTTTAAAAGGAGGTGTCAGTAGACGTTGAGATGAAAGGGATAAGATAATTTCCTTAATCTGTTTTAAAGTATGCAGACAGTTATGTATGATTTTTTTAAAATGCCAGAATAGTAGCTGAACTAATTAATTTGTATGTGTAATCACAGGCAGAACCCTTTTTACATCATTCATTTATACATGTGTAACAGAGCACAATTAAAAGGGGTTTTCATTGTCAAAATTTCAAAATATTAAGAGCAACATTAGTTTTAGCCATGTGCTTTAATTCTAGCATTAAATGTATTGGTAGTTCAATTTAACAAATTTGTTAAATAGATAAATTTCCCCTCAAGGTAATCATGTGGCTTGACCACTACAGGAGCCTGCCACATTTTCTAAGAAATAAAATAAAAACCAACAGCTATCTCTAATATTCATTTAAAATATATACATATATATATATAATATATATATATATATATATAAATATTTATTTCTGCACGGAACTGCAGAGGAGCTATGGATCTGCAAAAAGAAAGTTAAGTGTTGGAGGAGGCAAAAGATGACAAACAGAAAATGGATGCTGAAATAACTGAGAAAAAGAACAAGACACGAAAACGATATTGAAGTTCCATGAGAACTTATGCTCCCATAAACAGTAGCCTTACATACTTATAATCTATTCAAGAAGATAGCAATTCAAAGTGCAATACCGTATATAAGTGCTGCCATAAGATTTAAACCTCTATCAAAACCAAAAGTTGAACCAAACTTCTGTTATTTTTTTAAATAACTCTAGTAATCCAGCCACATAATACATATTGTTGAAAAGTACATTAATGAAAGCATTTCTTTTTAATAGTTTTTTTCTTGACTGGACATTAAGATAATTTAAAAATTAAATTAGAATGAAAAGAAATCTAATCAACTAGTGTTTTGTTAAAATAAAAGATTACTATTTTCAAATTTACCAAATACTATAAACATCAAAGTTTTCATTCTATTAAATGCCATCACTATATATATGTATATACATATATATATCAATCACTAAAAATAAATTTTACAATTTTCCAAGGCAACTATTAATTGTGCTTTTCAAATATCTGCCAAAATTGGAATATCTAATGTCCTGCCAACATAGTAAACCATCCCCACATTTGGAGTAACAATTACTAGAGGAAAAAGGCATTTAGGAGAAATTATTGAAATAGACATTTTAATGAGATACAAATTTTCTCATGATTTTTTTCTTTACTAGAAAAATAGCTATGATACACATTATTTTGAAATGATAAAAATGTTACCTTACACATATTAATTTTAAAATCTGGTTATCAAATACATTTGTGTACTTTTAAGATACATCCTTTTATCCTTTTAAAAAGGAGACACTTCTGAAATCTCATACATTTTCAGAAAATATAGTTACTTCTTTTCCACATTAAAAGTTTGCATTAACAGCAATCTAACATCAGAGAATATTACAAGTTTTCTCTAATAGTTGAATCTCTCAAGAAAATGTACGGGGGTACTCCATATATAGCACAAGGATATACTCATCATTCAAATTAAGGATTACTGAAAACAAATGTTTTTAAACAAGCTTTGTTGCCTTAGAGGTAAAAATGTCAGATGTGTAGTGGTATATTCTAAACATAAATCGGTAATTTCAAAAGAAAAGCTTGCTAGAGCATTTCTGGAGAGCTTCCTTAAATCTAACCCTTACTGTATTATGTATGCTAAGAGAATAGATTAAACCATTAAGTTATTGAACAAGTATTTTTATTTTCTAATACTGAACTGTGGTTTCTAATAGTATCTTCAGCATTTGAATTACAAATTATTTACAAGCATTTCAAATTTTCTCAATGCTCTTAAAATCCCTCTGAGTTGCTAATTTTTACACAGATCAAAACACATTTTGAAGATAGTCTAACCAACGATTAGAATATAATTGCAAGAATGCCAATCTAGTCGGCAGAGTAAGAATGTGCTTACAGTGTTACAAGTTATAGGTACCTAAATAAATCAGCTGTGGTCTGTCTTCTACTGCAAGAATGAGAAATGACCAATTAAACAAATCCTTTGAAAGGGTTGCTGCTTGATATATGGAGTATTCAACTTCATTTCCTGCTCAGGTTACCAATTCAAATCTATAATCTGGCTCCTTTTCAATTCATTTAAAAGGTTAGATTGTTCTGATTCATTTAAACTGATTATCTTTCTATATTTATATTACCTATATCTCTATAATACATAGAGATATAATATAGATATATATCTATATCATAAATTTTTTAATTGTTTTTGTAAAAATTATTCAAGGATCAAAACCTTGAATTAGTCATCAGATGTTCAATCAGAAATAGTCACAATATGTGAATTTTAATTTTAGTAATGCTTTTTGAAAGCAGCTTTCGGGGGCAGCTAGGTGGCGCAGTGCATGGAGCACCGGCCCTGAAGTCAAGAGTACCTGAGTTCAAATCCAGCCTCAGACCAAACACTTGACACTTAATAGCTGTGTGACCCTGGGCAAGTCACTTAACCCCAACTGCCTAAAAACAAACAAACAAAAAAAAAAAAGAAAGCAGCTTTTACTAGTTTTTCTATTGCTAAATGGTTTATAATTCTGGGGGCTTCCCCCCCCCCCAATTTTTCCTTTTCTTTTTTTTTGGATGAAACTCAACTCTCAGTTTGAACCACATTAGAACCTTACACCATGAAGTTCTCAAATACCATTACCACAAGCGTCAGTATTTCAATATGGTACATACCTTAGAGTGAATTTTAATGTGGTATTCATTTTTTTAAAATATGAAGATCAAATTAATTCACAATGAAAATTCTTTGGGGATAAAATCCTAGAGCTTTGTTCAGAACATAGTTACGTATAGTAGCAATATATAGATACACACACACACACACACACACACACACACATACACACACATTATGGTACTTTACAATGACAAAATTTGTAATTTAATACATCAGGCAGATTGAAAAGCTACCTAAAATTTAAAAATATGCAAGACTATCGCTCTGCACATCCATCTGACAGACCTGGATTCAACTTCTAGCCCACTTCTTGATCCTTAGGCCAGTGATATATAAAGACTGTTGCAGAGTGCATTCAGCTGCTGAGAAGATAAAAAGCTTCATGTTAATCAGTTGAAGGTATTTCTGTTCAGACTAGGAACAACTTTTATTCTTTTACAAAAAATTTCCAGAACAATGTAATAAGGCCAATGACTTTCACATCGGGTACTGAATGAATTTCAGATAACAAAAAAGAATGAATGCAAAGAATCCATAGCAGAAAAAGAATTTTTCTCCATCTGAACCATCACAAAATAATC